GCCAAGCTGCGGCCCGGGTCTCAAACAATGAGGCTGATTGTGAGGGGCTCGGGGGGGCTGCCTTGCAACAGCAGTTAGGGCTGCCCCGTGGGATACAAGGGGGGGCGCCCTATTTGATTAAAAAGTTAACCTACTTGCATTGGACCAAAAGCAGCCTGGGACATGCGGTAGATGCAGGCCATGGGCCTGGCAGAGAGCCCACCAGCTGGGTGGCTCTAGGCTTCTGGGAGGGGGGACCCTACGTACCCCTGTTACAAGTGGAGCCCCATCTACCAGAGAGCTGGGGCAGCTTCCAGGTCGGGTGGGGGCTGCAGGGCAGTGTGCCTCTCTCTCCCCCCACATAGGTGCTCCTGGGGAGGAAGGGATCTGAGCCCACGCCAGTGGGCAATTGATGTGGCGCTTACACACCATGGAGGGTCACTGCTAGGTTAGGCTGTTTTATTTATTTAGCTTTACACAGCACATCCAAGTGCTCCCAACTGGGGCAGCCCGAGGGTTTGGCCACATTGCCAGGCCAGCAACTACAGGCCTCCCAACTCAAGAGCATGTGAGCTGCCATCGCCACTCCTCCATCCTGTCTTAAGGCTTGAAATGCCAGGAGCAAGCAGACACCTCTCTAAAGAGAGAGCCCAAGTCAGAGCACATCCATCTGGGATCCAGGGAGGAAAGGCAGAGAGTGCTGGAGAATGCCCTGGTGGAGCTCCTATTTCAAACCCTGACGATCCAGTTTGGGCACCTCTGTGACTGCACAGCCCAGGGAGGCTCGCTCAGTACACAAAGGCACAAATGGTTTGGGTTAAGTCAAAACTAAAATCTTAAACAGGAGGGTGTGGGCTGTACACCCTCAATGCCTTGCTACAATCAGCCCTCGAGCGCACCACGCCAAGTTCACCAGAAAGTGCTCTGCTTCCAGTGAGAGAGATAAGAGTTTAACCGGTTAGCCGATAAGCAGATACGTATGAGTTACCCCACTGGAAGTGGGTCTGGCCCACGAAAGCTCATCATCTAATAAACCATCTTGTTAGTCTTTAAAGTGCTACATTGTCCTGCATTTTGCTTCAACTACCCCAGACTAACACGGCTACATTTCTATCACTACCCCACTGGTAAACTCTTCACGGGGCTGGGAGCAGTTAACCATGGAACCAATAAAAATTATATTGGTTACATGGTTAATATTTGTATTCATTTTTTACATCCCTTTATCCAGTGTGCTATTGTAATACAGATTGGATCCCGTTCATAGGTGTTCGGGGTCTATCTGGGACCATCAGAGCTTAGTGTGTGAGTTTCTACTGCATGAGCTAGAAGTCACATGGCTCTTAGCTCAGGCTGTAGAGCAGACTCACTAATTTCTACGTCCTGGTCTACACCCCCCATGTAGGTTGAATTAATAAGCAGAGCATCCACATTACCAAGCCCATTATTTCAAAATAACGGACTGCTTATTTCAAAAATCTATACTTCTGCTTTCCTCAAGGAATAATGCTAATTCCAAAATAATTCTGAAATAACTAACGTTAGTATGGATGCTCCAGTACCGCTAGTTTGAAATAACTACTCCCCAGAGTAATTGGAACTAATTACTCCCCACTGCTTCCTGGGGCTAAGTCAAGGTAGAATATCAACACTAACAGAGCCTGCCTCAGACTAATTTCGAAGAGGTAGAATATCAACACTAACGGAGCCTGCCTCAGACTAATTTTGAAGTTTCCCTCTTAGTGAGGGCATGCTATTTTGATTTTGTTATTTCAGGAGTTATATCGATTTTAGTTATTTCAAAATAGGGCATGTCTACACTAGGAAACTAAGTCATCACAGCGGCGAAGAGTCCTGTGGCACCTTATAGACTAACCAAAGTGTTGGAGCATAAGGTCGCAGCAGCGAGGAGTCCTGTGGCACCTTATAGACTAACCAAAGTGTTGGAGCATAAGCTTTCGTGGGCAAAGACCCACTTCGTCAGATGCATGTCATCTCAGTGGCACTATATGGGACAGAGCAACATTTTCAGGAGCAACGTTCCCTCTAATCTTTTCCATCCCTACGCAGATTTTTTCCATCCAGGTGCAGAATAATTTGTTTCTGTGCATCAAGGCATGTGTGAATGTGCACCACCAGTAGAAACAAAAAATCCAGCTGTGGGCACTCGCTAATCAGCTGGGCATCTCTCCTGAGAGGCCTCACAAGCACACAATTTACAGGGAACACTGCTCAAGATGTGTGTAGTTTACACCATACAAGTCCTCTTCCCCGATCCAGCTTTCACCTTCTCCCTACACATAGGGCTATAGATCTCACTTTCCTGGCCCTCCCCCTCCTCCTTTCCTCTTCCTATCTCTTAACAGTCCTCAGCTGCAGAGCTGAATCACATAGTCAAAGACTGGGTGATTACCCCATTAACAAATTCTTTTTTTCAATTTGGCCCATGCAGGGACAGTTGCCAAGTGCACAGAGCAGAGTGTCAGCCTCAGGGTACTCACTATCAGACCTCTCAAAAGCATGCAGCAGCCTGGAGAACTGAATGATGCCTACTTAAGATTAGCACCACCTATCGTGAGCTGCCCAATCCCCACTAGTTTAGTTTCCTAGTGTAGTCCCCACATGTTATTCCTGGGGAAATTCTGCATCAAAAATTCTATGCATAGTATTTTAAAATAGCCAATTAGCCCATCATAAGACGGGATTTTCAGGTCTCTCCTCCACCTTGGTCTTCTCTCCTGAGCCTCCGGTCTCTCTCTCGCTCTCCTCCTACTGCCTCCCCCACCCCCTCAGCTCTTCTCCCCCTCCTGCCTCTCACTCTCCCTTTCTCTTCTTCTCCTCCTCCTCCCGCCTCTCTCTCCCCTCTGTCTCTCCCTGCCCCCCTTCCCCTTCCCCTCCCGCTGGGGCACTCGGCTGCGGGCTGCCTGCTCAGCCCAGGCCACCGCCAGGGAGGGGGGTGGGGCGGTGACACACACAGCCAAGGGGCGGGTCTGTGTATGTCATCATCCCACCCCCCTTCCCCTCCCGCCGCGTGGGAGCCCAAACAGCCCCATAACATCATGCCAGTTTAATGGCTAATACGGACTTTGAAGAGAAAGCACTATAACGTGAATCATAAGCACCACTTCCCGTAGTATTTAGTATTTCCTTCAAGGTCTTCCATGTAGGTAGTAACTCAGTCATAATAGATAACACAACATAATATTTTCCAGAGTCATCAGAGCCGAATTAGTCACAAATCACTGTAAAGCTTTTCCCTGGGAACTGCAAATACTGAAGGGGCTGAATGCTTGGCAATAATAGACTTAAGTAACAACATGCGTTATTTCTAAATAACGTGTGAGGGAGATTATATTTTAAATAGCCACAACAGAAAAAGTGAAAAGTTATCTTGGTACATAGGTGTCACTTTAGGAAATACTTGTACATTAGTCAAATGAAGAGACAGAGATCATTATGGTATAAAATATGGATGTAGAAACTTCCATTTGTTTATAAAGTACTCACCACTTTTTGAGGTTGTCGCTTCTCATTTCGGCTAGAGAAGGAACAAAGTAAGAATCTCTTAACATAATCCCCAAACTTTGGTGGTTCTGATACAATGGACACTGAATACAGACGATCCCTTGTTTTGCTAAAACTTGGCTGACAAAGATTTTACAAAGTCAAACACATCCTAGCTTGCTATGACATTTTGGGTGGAGCAGGTATAGAGTCCATTTTATCTGGACAAAACCTTGATTTCAGACTGGTTTTGCAAAACCAAAACCTATTCTTGTTGATCTCTCAGAGTTATGTATATTTTATACTGACAGGTTTTTGGGTTTTTTTTTGGTCCCCCATAAATTGCAATTCCCAAATGGACCATTCAAAGGCATGGGACTATGTAAGCAGTAGAGGAAGTTCTTTGGGAAAGGTCTGGTGAGAGGGAATTCATTGGAAAATTGGTAGAGTGGAAAACACACTGTTAGAGTTAATCCACTGCCATCTGTCTTCATTTTGTCTACCAATGCTGCTCAGTTGAAGTGCAAAGTATTTATACAAGTGCAAACTGTTATAGCAGAACAAAATCATCTAAGGGGAAAAGTAGGAAGATGATGATGAAGAAATTCCAGAATAATCTAAGGAGTCGTGCCAGTGGGTCACCCCAAGGGAGTGAAAACAAAACAATGTATATTTCACACCATGAAGGGAGACAGTCTATTCATAAGCCATTGTTGGGAGAGTATTTTAGTCATGGCTGATTGGTTCTTTATGGGAGTTTATGGATATTGGAGATGTGCTTAAGACAGAAGTTTTGTCTGCTACTGGTTCTTACCCACGCATTATTTTTAAAAGACTGTTTGGAATTAACATGAGTATGCGGCATTGGTTGGTTACACAGAAAGGATTTCAAAACAATTAAAGATATGATGCTATAGTGAGAAATTTCAGTATAGGTTTGCTCCCAAGTCCACCTACATATATGCTCTACCCGCCCCCCCATCGTCAGCTCAATAATTAACACTTTTATCTTAATGTAATTAAAAAGTATCAAGGTGCATAATGTACAAATCAAAACAACGACATCATCCTCTTTATCTGAGCGCTCATATGGCCTTTGTCACAGTTGTGTCTTAGGAACTTCTAAAATTATGAGTGCACCCAGAAAATAATTTGCTCTTTCTCTTGATTCCCTCTGTTCTGCAGGGATTGGACTTTGTATCTACATTTATATCTTAATGGACTGAAGAATTCCCAGACTGGATCAGCTCAGCAGTCCATCTAGCCCAGTCTGGTGTCTCTAGTGACTGTGGCCTGTATCACGTGCTTCCGAGGAAGGTG